TATTCTGGAATAAAAGTACAAAAAAAAGTATTTAAAGCGTATTTGAAATACTAAAAAAGTATATAAATAAAATAATTTATTTTTATCAGTTTTGAAATTATTTACATAATATTGTTACACTGCATAGTCTACCACTAAGGATGTTTTCCTGTTTTGATAGATGCAAGTCCCAAAGATAGAAAAAAATATACAACATACAAAATATTTATATGTACCTATATATAATAATAATAGTTAATAAGTTTTATATAATATAAGCGATGAAAGATAATAAGACAAATTTAATAAAAACATAGCTATAATAAGGATTTACTTCATAATTATGTCAACTATCTCTTTATTTTAATAATTTAAAAACATCAAATGACAGGCAATTTTTTGTTGTTGTCGGAACTTTTTCACATAATTTCAATCCCGGTATCAGATAGCTGCCATATATTTATTTGGATTTGTGTAGCACTCATCTAGACTACTATACCATATTCTGTGAGGGATTATATTGAAGTATAATATGTATTTTTTTATATGAAAAATGTTTTGCCATGTTCTATATGTGAAGCCCTTGGAACTCTGTTTATAATTATTGTACATCAAGTGAAATGGACATAGAAATGTTGGATATTGGAGATATTAGGAGATGTTTTAATTAAATTTGAAAATGTCAATAAAACAGTTTTATTTTAATTTAATGCTTAGTTATTATTTGAGAACCATCTAATTAGTTTTTTTCAATGAATTTTCTGCTGTTTTAATTACTAACTGCCATTTACCAGTCACAATTAATGGTGTGTCATTTGCATAAGAATATAGACTACCTTATATTTGTAAATTGGACAGTACCAAGTACAAATATTTGAATTTTGAATAGGTACTTAAAAAGACAGCAATCTGCATATACAATTAAAGTCTGTTCATCGGTTCTTGGAATATTATGCACAATAGTACAATAGTTGTACCTATAACGGCTATAACATAGGTTATTTCATATTTATTTATTTTCCGTCTATTTAAAATTAAATTACCCCATGCGTTTCAATTTGACGTTTTTTTCGTCTAAAAATATACACGATCTACGACATATTATGCAATAATTGCTGTATTGTCCCGATCATATTATTATTTATTATTATAATTAAAATGGATTATCTTAAATGGTTAGGTCAGCAGTAAGGTTAGGTTAGAAGGATGAAAAGGACGGAAGAACCGTACATAACGTGCAGTGCATAAAATATCTCTGGAATCGTTATTACCGTTTAGGCAAGTATTGCAATAGTTAAATAGTTGCAGTGTTGGGTAGCATTATAAAAAATTCTAACGAAATTACGTAAAGCCGGGTACAGACTTTGCATATATTGTCATAATATTATGTTTCCGATACTGTATTAGTCCACGATGTTTCTGATTTTCCATTATAGATGGAATCGTAATCGAACATCAGCGTATTATCGACAGCATAATATTGCAATGAATGCTAAGTCCCAGAACCCAGCTTAACATATATCTCGTTAGAACTCTCACAATAAATTTGTAAGTAGCAAAAACGTAATTACATATTTTTTGTACTTTTCCCCCCTTAATTCTCAAACTAATATATATTATGGCGTATTATATTATACTACATTTACAGAGGCGTGCACAGATATTTTCGATGGGAGGCTTATATAAGAAATGTATATGTATGTGTATATAATATATATTTATTATATAAAAATGTTTTTTTAAATTATATTCATTTTTAGACATCTATATACATATAGTAACAAATACCTAAGGGTATAAACACCCCCTCCTAGTTGATACGCCACTGTACATGAATTATAATATTAGGTATGTAGGTATGCATAGAACATTGCAAGTTTTAAGAACTTTGACGAAATTAAATATATTATTTGGGCGCGATGAATTGAATAAACAGTTTTATTTCTATATATGATAATATGATTAGAAATTATTATTTATTTTGCATACATTATTGAGGATTGTATCTGTCTTGGGAATTCTGGAACATTGATGGATACATACGCATAATATGTTTATAATACTATAGGTGATAGGTATACGTATAATCAGTACATTTTTTATTGTACCATCCATTTGTGATTGAACTATCGCCTGTTCAACAATTTTCATTAATGGTAATTTTTTACTTTAAACTTCCCATAGTACTTATAAGATTCATATTCTTATCTAAAAATATGCTGTTGAAGAAAATCAAAGCATTTTTACTGTGCCAAAAGGTGACAAAAGACACAAAAAAAAACAACAGATCATTGTAAAATTAATACATTTATCGCTCTTCTCAGAATCTAAAATATGATAACCTATATCATTAGCTCTATAATTACTTAAAATTAGCTTTATGAATAATTTCACAATACTGTTTACTTTTAACACAATACTATCGTCTATCAGGTTAGGATATTAGGACCCCCCTTGGTATTTTTTTCACTATACGCAATTACGTAAAAATATTTAAAAATGAATTAAAAATTAAAAAAAAAATTTTTCATAGTAAATTTATTAAAAAAAAAATATAAACGAATTGCAGTGTTATTTTCACCATAGAGTTTCGATTAAAAATGTACTGTGAGAAGACAGTATCCTCTGATGTTATTATTAGATATTGGACATTGGATATTGGATATTACTTTGAATTTTATATACAATAAGGTATTTTATAGTAGCATTATTGTATTTATAAAATTTTTTATTAAAATGTTAATTATAAATTATAATATAGATCCTTGTAAAACAGCATAATATTTTGTTGTATTGATATACCCCTACCACCCATTGAAAATAGCTGTGTACGCCCCTGGGTATTATTATTAAATATATATTTGTAAATAACTGTAAATTACTTAACTATAATTAATATCCCTAGATGCCCGGCTTATGCTTTGAGATCAATAAAACAAATAAATAAATGTATACAGATATTGTAAGCTTTCACGTTATTGTATTGCACTTTCAAATTGTTTAATGTAGTCATGTAGGTATAGAGAAATAAAATATACTATTATTTTATACTCTATTTTTTACTAAATTGATTACCTATTTACAATTATGTGATTAATTAATTTGTATGCCAGAATAAACTTTTTCTAGTAGTTTATATGCTGTACAGTATAGGTGTCTAGTTGATCACTGTAACGAATGTGTTAAATTGTAGCTCATTGTCATACATTTTTTTATAAACTCCATATCGTCAAAAATGTCACTTTTAGTTTTATAAAAGTAGCAGGGAGTTTCTATAAGATATAAATGCTCGAGATGATTGGGTAAATTTCTTTTAATTTTTTACGTCTTAAGATGTTAACGTTTCAGTATCTGCGTTTTTTAACTCAGCATAAACAATATTTTAGAAGTCTTATTGAACATAACGTCAGGTTGTAAGGACGACAAACTCACATAACGTGTAGTATCTACCAGTCTTACAAAGCTACAAATAGAACCTTACTTAAGATTTGTTTGACCCGAAACTAAATTTTTGGTGAGGCTCTTCAACCTAAATTTTAATTTTAGTTGTTTTTGCTAGGTAGGTATATCGTTTTTTTTATATTCAATTTATTTTTAAGGTCATTAATGAATAATACCATAAGTCTATAAGTAATTATTTAATGTTGATTGGTATTAATAGAACGTACATGACTGTTTTACAGTAATATATGCCCATAGCCCCCTAATAATGTCAGGGCTCGGGAACCCCCCCCCCCCAAGCCCTCCATAAGAAGGTTTCGGGCTACAAACATCAAACAAAATAAAATTGTGTTCAGTAGAACTAACTTTGTGCTGTAAGCTTTTGCATTAGAGTAAATATAGTTATCAAAGTTAAAAAAGTTTGTATAAGATGAAGACTACACATGTAGAGTTCAGCGTATCTTAAGTTACTTAAGATTTATTTGTTTTTCCTTTATTTTTGTATGATTTCGATCACTAAAATTATCCACACTATACATTCTATACAATTTATGATGGTTTTAAAATAAAAAGAATAATATATCACATAATATTTTTGTCATCGAATTAAAAGAAAAAACACGTTTATATTGTAATGACTGGAATCCAACGTTGTATATGGCTTTTTTAAAAATGTTTAGCAATAGACCCCTTTCATTGTTTTTCTTTTCACTCATCATAAGCTTAATTTTTTTTATATTCGTGAGGAATTCCTGCAACACTAACTGTTCACTAACACGAGATTATATACGATTAAATGCACACACTGGGTGGTGTGGTATTTAAGTTCTTTCAAGGTTAGTTTCAATCGGTAAACTCAATTAATGAAATTAATTAGTGAAATTAACACTTCAATAACATAACACGTCATTGTAGATCATTATTCAGGTAGGTGGTACTTGCTTTTAAATTGTATCACCCCGAATGGAAATAAACAAAATTTTGGGGGACGCAGTTAAAGCACCTACGTAGAATAATATGGCTATAACCTCTTTTGTTTTTTTAGACACAATTCACCTCCTTAAATAATTTCCTGCCATTAATAATTTTTTTTCACATTTTATGAAGTATTTTGTACGGAGCGGTTTCGTTATTATGATTTGTACGAGTGCGGTTTACCCTGCAAATAATGGACTTTATTTAATGTTCTTGGTCGCAACTAAAAACTTTTAAAGACCTTCGTAACTTTTAAACGTTTAAACAAAATGTTAAATGGATATAATTTCGGTGCATTTGAAACGGCGTTTTTCCGGGTTCCTAGTATATAATTATACATTACTTGAGGTCTTATCGTGTGCATCAAATTCACAACCCCGGTCGTGTATGGTATACCATATATACCAGATAATATGACCTATACACTCGCCGGCCCCGCCGAAGCGGTCACACTGGACGTGACATCATAATTTATGTACATATACAGTAATAATAATAATATAATGTATTATGATACGCCGCCGCCGCCGCCGCCGATATCGCAGACACCGCCGACGCCGCCTACCACGGGAGTCTCTCTACGCTATCGATTAAAGTTGTATTGTTGTTGTGTTACGCGCGCGACCCGGCCCGGCTGCGAGCGCAGTACGCGCCCGTCGGCCTGAAAACGCGCACCATCGCTGCCGCCGCAAAAACACCACCGGTCGCCGCCGAAGCGGAAAGCGCGCAAAAGTGCGCCGCGCCACAAGTTGCAGCAGAACGTCGTGCCGGGCGCCCAGTCGCCACCGACACCTCCGAACCCGGCAGCGAGTGTAATACTAGCGACCTTATATTTTGATCGTTGCACTGTTATATTGACAAACGCTGTCAAGTCGCGGTATATACCGCGAATACCGCGGCGCCCGCAGCTTATTGGCAACGATGACGTCCAGCGACGGAGGGCTGCAGTCGTGTCGCCGGCAGGACAACCGCGGCGGTGGCGGGGGCGGCGTCGGCCAAAACCTGCCGATCATAATGGCCACCGGTTGTCGGATGCCGCGGTCGCCGTCTCGCGACAAGGACTTTGCTTCGTGCACCGCCTCCAGGACTTCCGCCGGCGCCCATCAACAGCAACAACAGCCCTTCGCCACCACAGCCGTCGTCCTGAACCGCGTCACCAGCTCTTATCCCGAAGCGTTTTTCAAAAGGTAAATAATAATTTTATTACGACGACGCGGACGTGCATGGTGATACTATTATTATATTTACAGGGGTGGCCGAACTCGTTTCGATTAAGTTTTACTGATCATATAATATACATTTTCTTTTAAGGATCGATTCTCTTAAGAAATCAATATTTTATTTTCAAGCGTTTATAACCAGTATTACCTAATAACAAACATAGAACTTATACGTACATAAACGAAATCATTAAAATTTAAAGGTATATAAAAAAGTTTGTTTATATTCAATTTCCAAATAGTTTTAAAATAAATTAACATCATTCTTTTTTCGTAGAACCGTGTACATTGCCCGTAATTTTAGTGATTAAAGTAGGAACATTGTATATAGTTTATCTTGTCCGGACATAGTGGGCATTTGGGAATACATATTAAAACTAGAGAAATTCGAACACACACGGTAGGCACCTACCTAGTATTTAATTAAAAAAAATAAATAACTAAATAACAAAATAATTTTAGGGGTGCTTAATATTATTTTTAATTTTAACCACAATTACGATAATTAAAATAGATTTAATATTTGACTTTTTACAACCAAACAGCTAGCTTTAAAGTGTATAACAATATTTTATTTAACATATTAAAACAAAATATTGTTAGAACTAAAAGCAATACCTACCTAATTGTTATTAAGTTATTTTTTATACGAACCTCTATTATTATTAGTTAAAATTACTATAAAGAACTTAAGTTTAAATTTGATCAAATATATATTACACAAAACTAATAATAGTTTTAATGAACGACTATAATGGGACTTTTGCAACCACATGTATATGCTTCTTTCACAGAGTCATACGTGGTCGTGATGTACAGCTATCGTATCCATAACCACTCTGAAAATTGGATAATTTACTCAGCATTATTGTGATACTATAATACTGGCCAGTGGCCAGTGTGCAATATGTACAAAGTACAGGCACATCATCCATTATCTTTTTTTTAACAATTATTTTATTTAATTAACTTTATCCACTGGTTAGGTATATCCTTTTCCCCTACATTTCCTTATACTGTGTTTGAGCATTGAGGAAATATTGGACTTTAAATATTATCTTTTTCAGATAAATGTTCCTAATTTATCGGGCAACGGACGAATTTCCTACCTACTTTACCCATAACGCATAACGTATCGTACGTAATTCAGTAGATATACAACTCCTGCGATAGGTACTGTTGTGCTTCAATTTTTTCTTCTTCTCGAAATCATTTCACTAGCAGTCAACTGACTACAACAAGGTTAATTTTATCATTTTATCGTTCAGCCTGAAAATGTTGTAATAAGTCTAAATAACTCTATTTTCTGCATAACATATGACACTTAACATATCATGTACAGAATTATATAATAAATGTAAAAATCTTTACCAATAAGCCCACACATATAACATGAACGGACAATTATTGTTACTTTTGTCAGAAGCAATAGATTTCAATCGCTTGGAGAGAAATGAAATATCTTACAATCTTATGTCCGGATGTGGAATATAATTATACTATTGATATAGGTATACCTACTAGCTCTACATTTATATTTTATAAGGTATGAACTTGTCTGACATTGTACACACATTTTTTTATATTAGTAAAACCATATAGGTAAAAATTAACTAGCAATTAAAAATGTTTAGTACCCGTGTGTCAATATAGGCAAGAACAAAAACAATTAAATAAATCATAAGTACCGTTTAATTGAGGAGAAAAAAACATATTTATAAATATTATAATATTATTATTGCTAAAAACGTTATTTTATTAAAACGTTTATAATATTTAACTGTTTTTCAATATTGTATAGTATTATAAATAAATGTACTGTATTACTGCTTATACGAGTACTTTTAGTGAAAACTTCCAATAATATCACACAGTCAGTCTAAGTACGGGTTTTCAGTTTTTAGTAAGGAAAAAGGACGGGGTTTTCTTTTAGTATTTTCCAGTTTTTAATTTACAACAAACACACTTTCTAAGTTCTTATCCATATAGAAAGAGGTATATCAGTTATGATGAGAAAAACTCACTGACCTTTGGAACTTGTTGCAATAACCGATTTTCACTGTACCTACGTACCGTATAAATATTGTAAAGGATCAAGTTCTACAAGCCTGTTTCAACCACTTGTTAAGTTCAACTTAAAGGCATATTCCATTTTATATAAATTGATTGTGATAAGTTATACTATATGAACAATTATATTATTATAGTGTATAAGTTTATGATTTTTGAGTCTACTCAATTTTAATATTATGTAGATACTCTCGTTATTCAATATGCAGTGAAAATGTTTTAAACGGCCATGGAATTGTGTAAAAAAATATAGGTAGGTGGTATTGATTACATGATCTACATAATTATATGAAATATTCAATATAAATTAAATATGAATGAATTATACATAACATGAGTATTATCATCATACAGTTAAAAGTTTAAAACAGTCGAGTTTGGTATAGTAAATAATTTATTGACACGCAACTTGTACTCTAAAAATGTATTTCAAATAGAGATGTCATAAAAATTGTCAGAACGTATCACCATCATATCGTATATTCGTTTGAATATAACAAGCTATTTTACTCTAAAAAATATGAGTTAATTAATATTTTAAACAATATGCATTATACGCACAAATAATTAAAATTAATCGAATGCAGGTACTCACCACTGAATATTAAAATATGGATCATGAAAAATGACGTGGCATTAATTCTGGTAAAAAATGTTTTTAATGTTTGAGTAGGTATGCAATAAAATAAATAGTAAATAACCCAAATATTTTAAACTCCACGATTCTCATAATATTTGATGTGTAATTTCATTATTCGAATTATTTGAAATAAAATGATACATATCTGGAATCGCAATACTTATACTTCGATACACATATATTTATCTTAACTAAACATTTAATTTTAAATTCTTACTTGTTATGTTTTCGAATAACATTGTATTATGTTCTATTTTTAAGTGTCTATACTTGTTCAAATAATTTTATAAATTAAGACGTACATTACACTGGCACGTAATAAAATGTTTTTAATAAATTATTATTTTTGAGATTTCACTACCTAATGTTTTTATAGATAATTAAATTTAATCAAATTTTTTCAGTAAAATAAGATATTTAATCAACTTAGTTATGTCAAGGACTGACATATTTTTGCTTATAACATTCATAATAAATTTATAAATACCATAGGTGTGTATAATAGAAGAATGTACCTATAATAAAAGTGTTTGTAATTAATGATAATATTGAATTGAAAAGTTCATTTAAAGTTATTACCTCCTTATTCTCATTAAAATATTCACATATTAAATTACGTTCTACAATTCTATACCATATTTTTGTATGAAATAATTTTTTTTATTAACTTTATGTTTAATAATTGGTAGAATATAGGCTTTATTAAAGACATAATAAAGCTTCACAGGTGAATATAATAATAATTATAATAATATACAAATAAACTAGTACAACCAGTGGTCGAAGTGGCTCAAAATAAATGGAGGGATGAAATCCCTTCGTATCTCTCTTTTAGTATAACCAAAAAACATGTTGTGTTTTTTTTTTGAATTACCTACTTGATTAAATAAATATTGCAATACACATTATTGGTGATTATCTTATCTCTGACAACGTTTTTTGAAAACTAGGTAGTTATATAATATTATGTTAGTTTTAATGTTTTTAATTATGTCATATTATGTGAGATCCACATATAAAATAAAAAAGTTTGTGTTTTTTTATATATTTTAATAATTTATAAACAAAATGGTATGCCTACCTATAATATACTTAATTGATGAACAACATTTACTCGTACAAATTGTTTACGAGTAAGTGCCCAACAATAAATTAGATACGTATAAAATATATTTATACATACCTTTTTATTTTTAGCAAAAATTATTTTAATACATTTTTAAAAACAATACATTTTTTTTTCTTAAAATATATTACAGTACAAATAAATTAAAAGTTAAAATTATCAACAATTTTTATTTTTCAAAAATACTATAATATTATTAAACAGATTCAAAAAATTAATTTTTATTCTTGGATAAAATTATAAATCATAGTTACCACTTATCTCCTATATGTAGCCTGATTTTCATTGAAAACAATTCGTACTTTTTCATTAAGGTTTACGTAGGTTTTTTCAACATTAATTGTTTTCATTTGAATCAAATACTTAATCAAACACGTGTAAGAATATTTTCGATATTTATAAAATATTAAAATCTCTACATATGTTATCACTTATCGCCGAAGGGTGCAGGTTTTGTCTTGAACCATTTCTTATATGTTATTGATTATATTGTCACAAGTTACATATACCTACCTATATAAATAAATTGTGCACCACATGTATTGATTTTATTATATATAGAATAAACAAAAATAAAAAAGTATTTTAAAATCAATATCTAATTTAAATTTAAACCCACACAAAATTTGTTAGAATGTATAAAAAAAATTTCCTCAGAAAATTACTTTAAAACAGAAATATGAATTGGAGGTTTATGTATTTATCGAAATGTCTAATAATCTGATAATCAATTATCGATACTTATACAGACTATAGTAGTATATTGACTAGTGTTTGTAAACATGGTGTATACATTTTTCACCACTGATATTATATCATATTTAAAATGAGTTTCTGTTTTAATTTGTATTTAATGATACCTACCTATAATAATAGTAGTTTGGTGGCTTGGTGACGATTGTGTGACGCGGTGTTTAGCTTCAGTTACAGTCTGCATACGTCTTTTGAGTGTCTGCATCATCCGGTGTCACTAGTTCCTGGTTAGGTGACCACCCGGGTTCTTAGTAATCAGTCTTTGCCATACATACACGTATTCCAAATCAATCGTGTCCTCCTTCGCAGTAAAATCGTCTAGTAGTAATAAGTAATAACCATAATATGCACTATGCAGCTAATACCATAAAAAAAATAACAATAATAATCATCAGGCTGAATATTTTTAAATAATAATAATTATGTTATGTTTTAGATAAAATAAAATTTTTTTTTGTGCTGATTACTAAATAATTATTGTTACATAGGTATGCGTAAAGATCCAAACTGTTCAATGGAAATATAATATACCTATATCACGTTTTTAAATTGTATATAAGATCTGACTGATCTGAGTATACTATATGTACATAAATATATGTTTATACCTTATACTAAAGTTAAAATATTTATCCGTCGACCGTTAGGTTAGGTTAGTTTGGATCTTAATTTTCAAACGTATCAAAATAACGTAGGTTATTACCTACTCATATTGGTCATTATTCATTATATTTATACCTACTTTGAATTTAGGTAGTCGTTCCAATTTCGTTACGATGACCTTCGTCTTAAGTAATCAATTGCAAAACTGTTTAGCCGTGCAGTATAAGGTATATGAGTCTAACAAATAATATATTTTGTCCGTAAACAAACCCTTCAGTGAACTATAAAATTTGCGAAAAATATCCCTTTCGTAGTATAGCAGATTCCTATCTAAAATCTGATAATATCGTTAATTTATGGAACATATCACGTGTTTAGCCGGCGCACAATATCTACGAGTAACTTGTACATCACTAACATCAAATTTTACAGCAGAGTAGTTTTACATTTTACAATTTTGTAGAACACATATTAATACTAATTACGTTCAATATTTATTTTTCAATGCTGAATCAGTTTGTTTGTATAAAAGTATAAAACATATAGACATTAATCAATTTAATAGGTACTTATATTTAATATAGGCAGTACGTTGTTGTAAAGTAGTACATTAATAGGTACATTTTATAATTATTATGTACCGGTATTTACAGAAGTCACAAGATTGTCGGATACGTACCGTCCCATCAATATTCAATATACCTATTTATTTATACAATACACATATATATATATATACACGTATAATACGAATTTATTGTATAATATTTTTATTGTTATAGTTTAAAAATTATTAAAAAGTGCCTTAATTTTTAAAAGATCAACTTATCGTAAAACTACATAAATAATTGGAAATTATTGGTAAACGTACCTATGGTATATTTTTATAATCTAATTTAGGTACAATCATATAGACTTGTGCTGGGACTTGACATTTTTCTCGTTGAAATCAGTGGAGGTCAAACTATTTTTTCAAGAGGAGTTGTGGCTGATTTTTCAAGATAGCCTATTTTATTATTAAAAATATAATTTATAGTTATAGAACCATGAAAATATTGAAAAAAGGTCATGAGAAGATTTATTCTTCTCACCCACTCTCATTTGATCACCACTAGTTATAGTGATTTCTGCTACATATATTATATTATATCTGTTGGATTTCATTGGTAAAATAAGGGCCGACGTCAATTTTCGACAAAATGTAGATTATTCGACCAATTATTATTTGTTTTTAACACACACACGTTTTAAAATTAGATTTGCTTGGAACGATAATCGTCTTAATTATTATTCGATCGCGCCAAACCTCACATGACATATATATATATATATACATAGGTCATAGGTCATACCTCTATCTTACACATTATATATTATACTTAAACAATAATATTATTGTTTCTTGTGTCTGGAACAGAATGTCGCAGGATATAACGAACTCGGTGTGGTTCGAGGAAGAGAACGATTTGATAAAAAGCTGCGGGGCACTACAGTCGGCGTTGGGTCTGTCCAAGAGCTTCAGCACTAGCGACATAGCGGACGCGACTAACATGGACGCCGGATGTTGGCTGGCGGACAGCGAGGACGTCCGCATGCCGCACAGCGCTTCCGAGTTGGCCATAAACAAGTTGCGCATAAACTCGGACGTGCTGCTGATGGCCACCACCATGCAGGGCCGGTTGGGTAACACGTCGCGGTCGCTGTCCACGTGCGTGGTGGTCGGCGACATGGCGTCTACGTCGCAGCTGCCATCGCCGAGCCGGTACTCTAGCTCGCTGCACAACAGCTATGCTTCGTCCGCGTTCAGCCCCACCGATCTCGTGAGATCCGTCAACAAAAAGGTATAGGCAAATAATTATTATTTGAGCTCACAGGAGTATGTGTGTGTGTGTGTGATTGTTTGAAACAGACTGACAAGTTGACCAAAAATTCAACACTTTTGGGTACAAATAGATACAACGTTTGGACGCATAGAATAAAATGTATTTGGGTACATCATGACCATAATCACAGAGAAATCAAAAAATAAATAAATAAATTATAAGTACCTACCCAACATAGTACACAGGTTAGGTAATAAACAGATGTACTGTTATTGACTGAGTTCCCAAAAAAAGATGAAAGACAAAAATAAAGATTTTTGGCTTTAATAAATTTAGTATAGGTCGTACATAATGATTAATCTACTTTTATGTAATAATATTACACAATATTAAAATATTTTTATATTTCATACAGTATTTAATAATAAAAATATTTTTGTATTAAAGTTGCCAAATTTTAGGGAACTATTAAGGTAGCCAATTTCCTCATGGTGTCTACGCAGGGCACCCTGCGCATGTCTTACCCAGGGGAACTTCAGTATAAAAACCTACTGTAAAATAAAATGGTAGGTAATTAAATAGTAAACCTGTCTAAAATAAGATACCTAATAATTAACAAATATTATTAAATACAATAGTGTAAATCAGTTGGTCTCAAACTTTGTTTTTCAAGTTTAAAAGGTAAATAACCTACCATTCATGTTTATTACAGATCAGTCACGTACCACTTTAATGGCTGAAGATAGAACTATTTAAAATTCGCTAAAAATCGTCAATATCAAAATGATAAAGTAGCAAAAAAATATTAATTACGTGGCTACGTTATAAGTTTTTTTTATTTCTTATCTACTTCCGCCTGTATTTACGGTTATCTACTGTAGTATATTGATGAATTTTCGGCAATTTAAGAAACAAATATTTAATAATAACTTACAATAATATGATAATATAATTTATAAAAATGTAAGATAATACTAAATGCCCCACAAACATCAAATGAATAAAAAACAAATTTATTTTCCGTTCTATCGTATTTGTCTTATAGTGGTATTATAGCTAGGTGTCTTTGGTTACGGTCGTGTGACCTTTTATTAGCGTACTATAGTTTAGAACCCAACCTATGATCTACATAATAATAAACCTAAGTAGACGATTTCTGGGAATATACTGATAAGATACTACCTGGGTAATTATGAAATAACTAGAACTGATTATACAAAATCCATAATACATTCAAATTTAAATGGTTTAAATTTATATTTTATATCATGATTTTACCCACCCCGTGGTTATGTGGAAAATAAAATATTTAATCACCCTTAACCTAATTTGGTAAATGTATATATACACTGAATGTGTACCTATGGGAACGTGTACCCAATTATTATTATTAACCGATAGGTAATGTATTTATAACAATCAAAACCTGCAATCACCAAAATAGTTGATGGCTATTATAGGAATCTAGATGAAGTCTTGTGTAATGTGTATGACCTAAAATAATGTGTGTAGAACGAAAAAATATATATTTTATATTTTAGTCAACAGTCACTGTTGACACAATATTCATTCACGTCATTATAGCCACACGACTTTAATGGAGGTTAAGTATAAATATGTCTAAATATGACTAAATTGACGTATCATATATGTTTATTTAAAAAATAATATTAGGTGTGTGGGCTATAGAAACTTATTAATTATAAGTGCTTTTTTTTTAACAAAAAAAGAGCTTGAATTGTGCAGGTAAAACATTCGTGTACTAACTTGAGTAAATAGCCAATACACATACATTTTGTCATTACTTACGGAGATGAATACATCATCTGATGATTTATTGGCCTTCAGCATTCAGCAGGTCGTACCGTATCCGAGTATGTATTGGCAGTGGCGATTAAGTAGTTTTTTTTGTTACAGAGAAATATCTCAAAATCACCAAGGGGAAAAAAATTTGATCGATTCACCCACATTACACTTTCAGTGTTTCAATAATTCAATTTAAAACTAGAGTATTGGAATAAGAAAGTAGAAATTATTACAATAGATACCAAACAATAGCGTATACATAGTACTATATCATTTTCGATATTTTTATTTTAAAACAATACAAAATTAGTGGGTATGCACTTTTCTTTAACAAGGAATCTTATCAATTATATCATGGAGTCAGCACCGTTTATCAACCCTTTTTCAATACCTACCTGTCCTACCTTTGACAAACTTATTAAAAAATATGTTTGCGAACGACTCACCCACTTAATTTCTAGTCATTATAAGTAATTTTAATTTTAAACATAACAATGAACATGTATCTTTTTTGCGATCTATTTTATCAATTTACATTTTACACGGTAAATACGATTAAAATTATCGCGATCAAATCAACCTTAACACAAAACATAAAAAAAAAATGGCATTTATTCATAAAAAAAAGTGTTTTTTCAATAGCATCGAAATGCTACGAAACACATTTTTATATGACTATATAATAACTATTTTTCTATCTTTATCAAAAATTAAATTTGCCTTTAAATCCAAACCCTATATATTATTATGATTAATGATGTACATGTGTCCACTGTAGGTGCGGCAAAATTATATTCAACGGCGTCTACTGATAACTTACAAGACATTGGAACGTTTGTCGCTGAGCGAATTCAATTTAGACAAGAGCTCCGGAGGAGGAGCCGACCACGTACCAGAACAACTGCAGTTGCCCGACCGCAATGATGCAGCCGCGGCCGCCATAGCTGTCGCCGCGGGTTCAAACAAATATTTGAGCGTACCGAGGACCGGCAAGCCGCTGTGCCCGGACGACATTGCCGTGTGCACCGACACCATAAAGCGATATCAGCCAAAGGCGTTTACCCGATACGACAGGAACATGTTCATAGTCAACTGGCTGGACAACATCGATCCTCAGAACACCACCACGGAAGATCAATAATGCACACACACATACATACGCATGCGATATCGATCATTGATATTATACTATAATAATTGAATAATTGAAGGACTTTCCGCAAAAACCACCACACAAGTTTACTTTTTGAAATAGGTTCAATGCATTATATACAGCGTTTTTTGAGTGTTTCGCATTATTATTATTATTATTTTTTAATTAGGTAGATTATATACTCAGGTATTTACGGTTTTGAATTCCGTAAAATATACTACAGGACGTACATAATGGGCAGGGGACACTGTCCGTGTTCTATGTAGGCACCTTAATTTCATAAAAACGTAACAGACTTTCACCGCCATTGACTTATCTGGTTTCTTCCCAACTAAATTATTATTTTTTTTTTTTCAAACCATGTTTGACATTTATCAAGTCAAGGAATGTATGACAGTCCTGTATGTCTAACCTATGATAGTTTTATGTTTACTTGTGATCGTAGGCTCCACTTGGGTTAAATTTATGGGGGTGTTAAATTCATGTCGACCAAAGTGGCTAAAAAGCCACTTCATTCATACGCCACCATTAGACTAACTTTTTTTAAGTCCCTGCAAACTACATCAATTTTTTGTTAAAACGACCTTATCGAATAACAAAAATGAAGGTACCTACTTCTTAAGGACCAATTAAAAAAATTAAAAAATTGTTGAGTTGGTTAAAAAAGTTTAACTTGCATAGGTCATAACATATTCAACATATTTAATACTTTGTTACAGTCATGAATTTGCTAAAACTGAAAAGTGTTCCGATCAATGCAAATCAATATATTGTTTATGCGTTCAAACATTACATTACATTTTTTAATCGGATAATCGGAAGTACTCACAATTTTGTCAGGCGTACAGCTATTTCAAGTCCATAAATTGATTTTGAATATTTTGATCTAGTGGCTACATGAAATGTGCATGAGATTGTGTAATATGTATGATGAGGGTGATTGGTAAGAATTATAATATACCAGAGACGGGCAATTCAAAGTTAGTGGACTGCCAATTTTTAGAAAATTAAAATCTAGCAGGCCATAGAAAGCAAAAAAAAGGGTCACTCAAAATATACATTTTAATTGATGTTAAATAGATTATATAGTGTAGACGATAAACTTTAAAATTGTATGATGTAATTTGAAAATCTAGCTCGGGCCAGTAAAAAAGACCCAATAATAATCATTTAGGTACTACACACAAAGACGAGTTGTCACTGCAAGGAACGAAATAATTGCCTAAACACAATTCCTTAAAAATAAAATGTTTGCGTGGCCTTAATATAAACAATTACCTATACTACCTAATACCAAAATATATATGTGTATTATTATTATTATAATTATGAAAATGAAAATTATGTCTTAGTAATAAATTTATCATAAAGCTTTTGATATAATATTATAAGTTATAACCAATGAAAATTTGATGATGCTATTAAAAATCAAGCACCCCCAAATAGAGCCTATGCTTGTGATTATTTTTTATGTTATAATGCAGGTAACCATTATTTGCAGCGAGAATAGTAAAGTCCAGGGACTTGTTTAATTCTTCCACCAAAATTAAATAATAATAATAAATCCAGATAAGTCTGTTCATAAAAACTATACCTAACCTAACCTTATGTCTTATATTATGTTATTATATATAAATAGTACCTACCTATATCCGGGGTATGTAATTGTACCAACTTGTGGGGGAATTTTTTTTCGATTCTTCTTGAAAATGTATATTTTCCAAAATAAGTGAATTTATCTGGTGGTTTTTGCAGCAACCTCTTCGATTTAGTGTTATTGTTATAGTGAAAGGCGCGCGCAACTTTATTCGATATGAGCATTGACATTATAACTGCTAAAACAAAAAAATGAACTGCTATATTATATAGATAATATTATTATTATAATCTATCATTTAATTATTATCTGATTGTTGTTAATTTGGTCACGGTTATCACGGTCTTGTAAGACCATGGTCATTACCGCGTGAACCAAATATTATATTATATTACTTATGATTCATATAACGAACTACGTGTTATGACCAAATATTATTTTAAAGCGTTTAATTCTAAACGATTCGTTAACATATGTTATATTATGCACATATAATAGAGACGTGAGTGATGTCGTTTAAAAGACGATTTTATTCACTTCCTAAAGTTATTACGTCATACTTTATAAAAATGACAGAGAGTTACAATAATTAATAATTATTAACTCTTGTTTAGGCTTGTGCCATTTAATTATATTTTTCATCAAAACGTCTAGGTGTTGTACCTATGGACTTTATATTAGGTATCTAAGTAAATATCCAGCCTTGCATTTGCATTAAATATATGTTTTTGTTAACAAAACAGAAAAAAACATAATATTATGGTTGCATGGATTTAAATTTAATATATTTTATAAGTTATATCCGTGATCAAACAACGGCAAAGGTTGCAGGCTAACAGTTATTATAACATTATATGCCTATAAACGTTTCATTATTGGTCCATACTTACTAATAAGGCTGTAATAGTCTAGCTATTATTGATTATTAGCTACCGGCCTATATATATATCCATGAAAGTACTTACGAATATAATTCATCCCTTTGACTTAAACATATTCCCATTTCGTTGGTAGGTACCTATTCGATAAATTATGATTTCGTACCAATCTTAATATATTGATGTTTCTATTTATTGACTTATAATATTATCTTCTAAACTCTAAAGTATAATAAATAACGATATAAAAATATTATGTAGGTTTAATGCATGGTTTAAGTTGGAAATCGGTATAATAATTAACTTATCGGATAACTGATGAATTCTATATAATTAACTTATTAACATTAAAATGATCAGTGAATTTGTCAAGAATCGAAAGTCAATTAAATGAACAGTTGTATTAACATTTTTAACATTATATATACACTTAAATAGGTTAATCATATTGTATTAATATTAATGCTAGAATTTGAAAAAAAATACATAGATATTCTAAAATGTTATAAGTAACACCCGCCAATCTACTTTTGTAAAATTTTAGTTAAGGTACGCTCAAATATTTAAAAACAAATTTAAATATAGTACTATGAATCCTCACGTTCTTTATATGCCTATAATATTATCCAATTCTAACACTGTACCTATAACAGTATTAACAGTATTACGATTTGATACATTTAGAGGAAGACTTGAGAAATTTGTTTTAAGGCATATATTTTATTACCTACAACATGTATAACGAAACAAACAATTTAATACAAATGTAATATTTTAATAACATTAAATTGATAAGAATAACAATATTATAAAAGTTCATATTATAATATAAAAAAAATTTTCATACTTAAAAATGTTAGTGGAGCTCATTAATTATTATTATTATTATATAATTTATTAAAAAATACAAATAATTTATAAAGTTTAATTTGTACTAGCTTCTTAAATATCTGTCTAAACTGTATGTCTTTACGTACATTTTAAATACTTGATTTCACGAAGTGGCCAAGACCATTTATTTAAAACATAATTTTATATCTTCAATTTGTATGACATTATGTAGGCAAGACATTTAAATTTAACAAAATAAAATTATATATATTTTGCTTGTATTTTAAAAGTATTAATTACATAAATTACCTAAATGTTTTAAGTCTATTTAAAATGCGGCCTTAAATCATGTTACCAATTCAAATTTTTTTATGTGTTTAATTTATAAAACTTTATTCATTACAATAATCTGACTAAATTATATACACCAGTTAAGCTTTATATATTCTTACAAAATACTATTTTTTTATCTAGGTAATAACGCTAACAATATTATTCCGATATTTAAATAATAATTGCATCTAATAATGAATCTTTTAAAAATGTTGAATCAATTTTTTTTCAACTAACATGGCAGTACAATTGAAAACAGTTACCTACCTACAATCTAAAAAAAAATAGGAAAATAATGTACTATGATGTTTATGAGCTTCAATTATCTTGTTACATTAAAATAACACAATATTTATGTTTTAAACACATTATACCCAGCCATATAGGTCAAGAGCAGGCCAATTCCCCAGAGTTTTTTTGACGTTGGGCGGCCGGTTGGGTTGCTGAGTGCTTGACATATAATAGAAAAATTACTGTTAATGCATGGATAAATTACGAAATAATAAAATACCTACATAAGTTAGCCAATTCTATGATTATTTGTTTTTAATTTATTACTGTTTAATAAAAAATATATAACTTTTTGGGGTTAGTGGGTATCAATCATACACAATTAAATTTTACTGATCTTGTCGACATTTTAAGTTTTACTATATCTTTTTGTACATTATTGAATTATGGCTTATGCATTTATTAGATGAGCAGAACAAGAAATAAAATTCTAAAAACTTATTTGTCAAAAGCTTAAAGTTTAGCGACTTGACGTTGAATGTGTATCAAATACATTTATTGATAATGAGTTTAATTAATGATTTTTATACATAAAAACTATAATAGGTAAAATAAAAATTTAAAAATTAAATTTTTTTTAAAGGTCTTAGAAAAATTGTTTGCTCTAACTCTCTCAATTTATAAGTAATCATCTAAAATAATATTATTACGTATATTTTCGTTTTGCAGTTTGATTAAAATATATTTATGTTTCTACCAATACCTAATATTGTATTGAAGACATTAAAGAGAACCACCTAAATATATATATATATTTCTAAATTTTGTTGTTATTATAATTGAGCTAACATAATTTAATAATTATGCCAATTTCGGCACAATACAAGAGTAAAATCAGTTTTTAATTAAGACTTTTTAAATTGTATGGTTATTCTTTAATCCGTCCATTTATCAAAAATAAACTTTTCTAATTTTTAAATACTCAAATCATTCTACTTAATATATTATTGATTAAATCATTTCTAAATATTTAACACCTGCATTTCCAACAGATCCATTGTATAATCCAAGTATAACCTGTAAGCCTCTAGAATGAAACCATTATTGGATTTAAAAAGTGAATTTAATAATACCTAGGTACCTATCATCAGTCCTTAGAGTTATTATGGATAGCTTGTAGTATTGTTATGTTTTTGAAGATATAATTTTAAATTGTATACCTACATATTATTACCTACTAATCACTTGTTCAATGTTTTACATAATATATTTATATATTTATTTACATAGTATAATATAGTATAGTTTACCTATATAGTATTTGCTTATAAATTATAATTTATCGTTGTCATGAATAGTTTGATATTGAATATTTCTACATTATATTATATTGATACTGTATTTCTTAATTTCTTTGTCTTTAATGTATTACATATTTTGGTTATATTATTCTTATATTACCTATACTAATGTAGTATGGTAAATAACATAATATTATATTAATTAGGTACCTATATCAGTTTAATAAAAAGGTGAATAATTTTCGGACGAAGTCAATATACCTACCTATTGCCTATAATTCTCTATTAGTTATGTAATAAATACCCTATTGTTAATCATTAAAATAAAATAATACAATTTAAACAATTATAAGTAAGCTTAATTTATTTGAATTAGGTACTTATCCATATTATATTATTATAACATTATACAATGTGAGTAGCGAGCCCGAGTAGCCAGCAAAATAAATATTCCAAACTAATTACTTAGATCATGGATCATGGATCCATCCTTGGACATACATAATAATACAATATTATTATAGTTATTTTAACACTCATTTAAGTAAGTACTCTCCATTTTAAAATTTGGTAAAAGCACACTGTGATTACAATATTCTGGCTTAGGGTAGTCAAAATTTATTTGACAAGTGAATTTAAATACTTTCAAAATACTTTTTCTTTATATTTCATTCCAGAATTCCAAGTACTTCTTTTCTTTTTACTATCGTATTTCAAGAAATATTATTTTTGTTTTGTATACCTACCACAATTTTAAAATTTGGTCTTAAAATAATATTTTATAATGCTTAAAAGAATTTCATTGAATATGCAGATGACACAATACTTAAAATTCATATCTACCTTGCTGAAATTTAACTTGAAAATTTAATATGTGACATGTGACATTCTTGAACCAATTAAAGAATGTATTTATTAATCATTTCAAGTATAATTGTGATACACGTAAAAGAATTTTAATTCACTAACAAAAAGTATTTGTCAAGTATTTTGAGTACTTTTAAAATATTGATGTTTGCATTGATATTTAACTATTTATGTAGGTAGGTAGGTACTTTCGAAAGATAATATTCAAATACAATTTTGGCAGTAAGTATTTAAATATGTATTCTGAATACATTTGAAAAGTATTCTTAACAAGACTGACTTGAGGTTAAATGGCCTTTTTTCTATCTGATGAAATGTCTGTAAATGTTGGTACAAATTGAAAGCTTTCGTTTAGGGATGCCCAACAATAGGCTGATGGAAATTAAAACATTCTTAAAAATATAATTTAATGCTATCATAGGAATCTAAAGGCAGTACAAACTTTTTTTTTTAATGACTGTTTTTTAATGAATTTTTCTTACTGTAAATTGTTTTGTATGAAAATAATGATGTAGGTATCAAAATAATAATTTAAACTGCCTAGTAGGCAGTTGATGAGTTATACAAATATAGGTACCTATAAATTAAGAATAATATTTAGCCATTGAAAACTATTTTACAAAACTATAAAATATACTTACCTACCTACCTGCCTAATATTTAATGTTTATGTTGTCATTAAAAAAACATAAGACGTAAAAATATGTAATTAATTTAGTTACCTATTAATTAATTACCTACTTCAAATTATGCATAAAATATATTTTTTTTAAATAAATAGATTAACCAAGAAAATCAATGTTTATTTGTTTACTGATATAGCTATAAAAGAATAATATTATTTTACGAGTATACTAAACCTAAATAATGCCTATAATACAGGTCAAAATATATTTCATTCACATTAAACAACACATAACACAACGGAATTTCATTTTTATGAACCATATAATATGTATAACTATTAATTATTATAGTATATTATGTCAGCATAGCGGGCATAGATGAAAATACCCCAAACTTTTTATGGAGTCTAAAGCCCATAGGCATAACTAGGGGGGCTACCTTTTATTTTAGCCCCCCTATAGTATTCCGATACTCCCACCAACGGTAGCTTAAATATAATATATTTGAAGGAATACCATTTTAAAATTTGATGACAAATTATTATATCAAGTTAAAAATAACAAAATATAAATTTATAAATAAAAATGACGAATCAATCTAATATTGTTCAGACTTTATTGTTTAAGTATTAGTGGATAGGTTCTATACTACTATATATGCGTCCAGTGCCATGGACATTATT